AGGAAGAAAGAGGAGAGTCGCGCCGGTGATGATTTCATCGCGCTCAAATTCCACCTCGGGGCGGGAATCTCAGGGCCGTATTTTCGATTCTCGGCCAAGGGGGGAGGGGAGGGGGCGGAGAAGGAAGGGTCGAAGTCGAGGGGGATCCCAGCGTCCCGCCCACGGCGGGACGATAAATTCTCCCCTATGACACGAGCCTTTGCTCCGTCGTGAGCGAGCGAGCGAGGTTCCATTGCCGGGACCGCTTTCCTTCGCGTTTCCGTGAAACGTGGCGTTGATGGCGGAGACGTGTTCTTTCCCGCGATAAATTAGTCCCCAGATTTTCTCACGTTGCGAGGTACGCGGGCCGCTATTCCATTGGATGGTATCTGCCGTTTTGCATCTTGCACGCTCGGCGCACACGCACGCGCACACCGTAAAAATAACGAGACTAATGAAAGAGGAGCCTAAGTAGTGCGGCTGTACGCGCATGCGTTTCACCGCCGTTCAAATTTCAGATGCAACGACTGCGCGCGAGTAATCTGTTCGCGCCATTACTGTAGCGGATATGCAAATGCGTAAAGGTGTGCGAATCACGGACTCTTGATGTCGGGTCGAGGCGAATCGAATTACGTTGAATTGCAAATCGTGGAAATATAACTTTTGTTGTACAGAGGAAAGTCCCCTATTGTGAGATAGGGGTCTTAATATGGGACAGCGGGGTGTCTGTTAAATTAATAGGCCCCATGATCGCTTGATTCCACCATGAGCTGATTGCCCTTGGCGCGAAATCCGTTCGGTGGACAATTCATTGTTAAATTGCAGGGTTGGGAAGTAACTCGTTACTTGTAACGTAGTCACAGTTACTTTTCTTTGGTAACTCTCGCTTGACTTCGCTACTTTCTCTCCGTCTGTAACTGTAACTTAACTCGGTTACATTTTTTCGATAACTAGTAGCTAATTTAATATTGTAGTTACGTTAATAGTAACTTTATATATATTTTTTTTTAAACCTCCACAGATTGGGTCTTGCATTTGCGCATAAACGCCTTTATCGACGCTTTTTGCAATTCGAATGCGGATTTGATATTTTTATTTTCGTTGCAAGAAAGTAACTGCAATGTAACGATTCGTTACTTTTCAGAATTGGTAACTTGTAACTAGATACTTTTATAAAGTAACTTTCCCAATCCTGTTAAATTATGCAATCGCTGCGAAAAATCATTTGTGACTGAATTTGGATGTTGAAACCTACTCTGTTTCATATTAGAAACCTCTCGCATAACAGAGGACTCTTTCCTTTACATATAAATTGCATTTTAACACGTGAACGATAAAAGAATATCTTCACCCCGACTGGATTCGTATTCACATAATTCGCGCATCCCTACAAAGATATACAATTTGCTCTGCTCCGCAACAATGGGGGAAAGATTCAATTAATTAATAGTGTTGTCGATTAATAGAACTGCTCTTGTGTAAAGTTAATCGTTGCTTTATTCTCGTACTCGTTTTCAACTCGTCTGTAACTCGAGAGCGACTGCGACTTCACCCGCGACCGTTCGTCAGCTCGCACGTTATGCCCGTATCAAACTGGCGACTCGCGCCTCGCGACTGCCATTGCGATTG